AACTCCCTCATGTTCAGATGCCAACCCAAGCCCAGCATTTTTGAAACACTGTTTGCATCAGGTGCAGCATTACTCGAGTAAATCTGTTGTTGATAAAACCTTTGGCCTCAGAGACCATGGTCTAATGTAGACACCTTTTCCCAGACCAGTGTTGTCCTAGATCACTCTATGAACCACAGGCTGGGAAGAGAAAAACCTCATTCCCATCCCAGCTCCTTCTGGATCCTGCCAGAGCCCCCTAAGCACAGCAACACCCATGGCTTCCTTTGCAGTAACAGAGGTGGATTTTTCAGAGCATCAGCTGCTCTCAGTCATGCAAAGCCCGTGCCCACCCCAAGCATCACTGTTGGCAGGAGGAAGTGATCTGTGTTACCTTTCCTCTGTGTTCCTTGGCATCGAGTCTCCGCAGGGATTTCAGGCGCTCTGCAGCTGCTAATGTGTACGCCCTCATACCTTTAGCTGCATAAATATGTAGAATTCTAAGACAGCAAATAAAGACACTGATCACTGCTTGGCCACGAACTGCCCTGGGAGCAAACAGTTTTTTTACAGGGTAGCACAGCCACTGTGGGGGGTTTTATACCTAGTGTTCCACAAAACCCTGTCGTGAGCACTGAAGGGCTTGACCTGGAAAGCACCTTCTCCCATGGACAGGGATCCCCACCTCAAAACAAGGGCAGCATTCCAGACCCCTCAGCACTTCTGAGCTTTGACATGCTGTCTCCTTGCTACTTCAGCACTTTCAGGTGATGTTAGCCCTTGTGCAGGTAGGTAGTGAGTCCTCCACAAAGCCTAGTGCTGGGGCTCAGCTACTATATCTTATGTACCTATCACTTGTTGGAGTTGTATCCATTGGTGACACCTCACCATCTGAGTAACAAACTCTTCTAAACTGTGTATTTGTAAACAGACTGTTAAAATCTTTATCAGAATTACTGGTGTGAGAGGGACTGAGTCCCTATCCTGTGCATAAGAGATTTGTCCCACCCCACAGCAGTTATGGGCTTGCTGATAACATGGCCCTTAGCAACAGGGAAAACAGTTCACTGCTTCACTTCTTTTTTTGTTGCCTGGCTCTGTGGCTGGAGCTGGAGAGAATGACACAGAGCTGCTCATGACCTCCATTCACCCAGGTTCTATTTGCCAGGCGTGCACAGGTAGCTCTGCAGTTCCCCTTTTGCACAGGAGCTGATCACCCTGCACAAAACCTCTGGGTTTGTTTCTCTCCACACAGTGGGATTTGATATTTTCAGTCAGAAGGTGGGAGGCAGTGGCTTCTTTCCCCAGGTAATTTTGTGCTCCAGAGACACACCTTGCAATTTCAGGAAGCAGAAAAGCAACTTTGTGACTAGTCTGATTTTCAGTCAAGCTCAGCCTTAGCTCTGGCAGCACACCCCACGCCTCCCCAGGGATGCCAATAGAGGATACTAGTGATTGAACAAATATCTGAACTGCAGGACTGCTTCTGTGAGGACTGTTTGGATAAACAGTGTCTCCAGGCCACATTTGGATCATGGAGCTCCTCCTTAATCTGCCTTAATGTCCAAAATTAGCAGAAAATCTAACAGCTAATCTGTTATTCTATCCTGTACCAAGGCTGAGTGACCCTTTTGGGTAGGAAATAAAACACTCTAGGCATATGAAAGTTACTGTAGATCTTTATTGAAAAAGATTTTGTCTTTTTCTAACCAGAACAACCCAGAAAGAAATTCTGAAACATTCCATCATCGTTTTATATTCACACACAGAATTTACATACATTAGAGTGAAAGGAATTTAAAAGCAATCTTAGCAACCACAGGCTTGATTCACAACTGCATTATCCCAGTTTGACCTACTGAATGTCTTTATACTCAGACTGGAGTAAGCAGTGGTGAACTAAGCTCCTTCTAATTAATTTCTTTGCTGGGTTTTTCTGCAAATGTAAGCCACTAATTTCAATGCACCTGAACTCCTGCTATTTTCAAGCAACTTCATGACCACTTGCATGATCTATTTCTTATGTCTTCCAGATTTGTCAATATTAAATTACAAAAGATGCTTTGAAAGCTTCAGCCTGAGCTTGCAAACCTCACTCAGGCATAAACTGTAAGGTCACTTGAAATATTGGAATAGTGCAATAAATTATTTTGCAGTTAATCTTGCAAATAATAAAATCACCTAAGGATCCTGGGCTTTAGAAAGCAGAAAAACCCAGAGAAATTGTGTCCACCAGCCAAGAGTCCCTTGTTGATTAAGAAAATGATAAACAGAGTCAGAAGGGGATATCTCCTGCAAATATATTTGCCCGTGGCACGGCACTCCTGAACATCAACAATACTATATTTATAGTTGCATCAGAGGAAGAAGTAAAGCTATTTGTTCTCCAGGGAAGAAAATCAGAAAGCTGTGAAGAAAATGTGTGCACCTGTAGGCCTGGGAAGACTACAGCACAGAGAAACTTTCCATAGCAGTGAGGCACAAGAGAGGTCACTCAGGTTCCCTGGCTCAGCGCGGCATCACCGACTCCACACCCAAATGCTACAGAACTAAAGCATGGCCACGAATTCCCTTTTAGCCTGAAATCTAGATTTTGGAAGACCCTAACTTTCCAATGATCTCCATGGAAAGAGATCATTTCAGGGCTTTGTCTTGCTATCTTGGCTCTGGCAAAACTCCTGGTGACTTCAGTGGGACCGTGATCTTTCCATTGACAGAACATGCAGCATGACCAGCCAGCCCCAAAACCAGCCCCCGTCTCAAAGGTGGAAATTTTAGAGTCCAAAAACATCCTGCAGCTGAAAGATCATGACTGTAAATCACTGTCCCACACCTACGTGGCTGTTTTCCCACGGCACACAAGACGAGACCTTCAAGTTACACCTTTGTGTGAGCTCAACCAATTTATCTACACTACTTTGTGTTGCTCTGAGATTAGGGATGTCTGACTCTGCTGGTGTTTAGTTCAGCTGTGTTGACTTTTTGTCTTCAGACTCATGTGCCTACCTGCATAACTAAAACACTTCACATTTTCCTATTTTCTGAAGGAGTGGGTCAGTTTAGAAAATAAAAAACGCCAATTTAGGCCCCCAAAATGTTTTCTAGTGGCCTAGATGAGGTAGTGGCTCCTCCATGGGCAGGGCAAAGGCACACACACAAGGCATTCACACTGAGCTGCAGAAAGCAGCCCTATGGAACTAGGTCTTGCAGATATTTAGGGAGAAGTGGACCCTCACCAAAGGCTGCAGTTGGCCATGGCTACACCACAGTATGTCAATTTGAGACCACATCTGAGGGTGAAGGTCACCTCATGCTGACACCAAGCACAAGGACTATGCAGTATCAAAAGCCTGCCTGGGAGAGGCAGCAGGAACTGGGACAGCAGAGGAATCTTGCAGTGGGCCCCAGGACAAAGCAAGTTTCACACAACACACAAGTCATGGTGTGCTAGAGGTGGCCACCAAAACGGCAAGTAGATTTCCCACCCCACCCCCAGCCTGTCTTTCCTCCCTACTCAAAACTCACTGTGGTGTCAGGTGGAGTATTGAGTAGGTGAGGATCAGGCCCCAAATGTGGAACTCAAAGCCCTTCAACAGAGAGAGCATGGTTTAAAACATACGTATCATTGTCTTCATCTTCTAGAAGCAGCTTCTCGATGGGCAGCGTGCCAATGACTCGTCTGGCATCCTCCAGCTCCTGGGGGGCTGGTTCAGGAATGGAGATGGGCAAGGGCACAAACTGTGGCCCGGGAAGCGTGGAGGAGGCTGGCTGGTACTGCAGAGTGGAGGCTGGCAGGGCAGAGAGGGGCTGTGCCCATGGGAAGTAGGTAAGAGGTGGCTGCTGCTCCGTCACCTCGAGCTGAGGCACTACAGCAGGGGTGGTGCTTCGGGGCTGTTAAAACAGGAGAGGGATAAAAGCAAGTAAAACAATTGGGCAGGTGGGGAGGGGGGAGGACACACACAAAAAAAAACCAGACTAAGGATGCACGTCTCACTTTGAACATCCCTTTTCCTGTCTCTGACATACCCTGTTAGACTGAGTGTGACCGTTTTCCCACGCTGGCTCCCATGAGAGTGGTGGCTGTGGGTGTCCCAGGTGCTAGCTGCCACCAGCTCACACTCACCTCCAGTTCCCTCTAGCTTTCTGTTCCCACTCCCACCCTCACTGTGAGCCCATGAGGCAGTTACACCCTGTGCTGAAAAAATACCTCTGTGTCAGTCTCTCTGAGGTTGTGCATGGGCAGAACTTCGCTGCCACAGCTTATCCTGGCCTCTGGGACACCCCATCCTGACTAGCCTCTGGCAGCCAAGGCAGAGCCAAATGTGGAACAACAGCCCTTCCTCACCAGGGAAGGGCAGGGGACACATGGGCCTTTGCTGATTTGGGGTGTTGGTTTCAGCAGCTGAACTGGAACATGAAAAGTAAAGTAAGCTGCTTGAGTTCAACTAAAACAGAGTTCTCTGCCCTTCTCTTCTAAGGAAGAATGGATCATCTTGGGGCAGCCAAAGAGAATTATTTTGGCTTTGCTTTTCCATCTTTAAATAGCAATTTTTGATAAACTGATTGCCAATTCTTCTTGCTTCACCTGGTGGGTGTGTTCCCTGGAATCCATTTACTTTTTTTCCCCCCCCTTTTTAAATTTGGAATTAAATAGTGAAGAATCTCATGGACACTGCTCAGATCTCTGGTGGGACTGTCCTAAGTACTGGTCCAGACAACTGCATTCATTCCCTATAATGTGCATCCAACTCAGTGAACTATTTCAATTCTGCTTCCTCAGGTATTCCAAATCCAAGCTGAAGAAGCTGGTGATGCCAGCTGCAAATGTAGCATCCTCTACTATTATCTTTGAGCTGCAAACCTTGTTCTGATACTGTAAATAACTGTTCATAGAGTTGAACCAACTGAAGGCAATGGCAGCCCTGCTGCTGACTTCATGACTCATTTCCCAAGACAACAGTGAGTGTAATAACAGCCTGGAAGGTCTGAAGGAGTGCAGAGGGATGGGGAAATGGTAGAAATATGCCTCATTTCAGTGCAGCCACAACTTTTTGTCCTGCTCAAACCATACTGATGTCCAGCACAGTGCAAACAGAGCCAGTGCTAGAAAAACTACGTGGCACGGATGCAACAAAGACACAATATTATAGTAATCAAATTATATTAATTACATCCAGCACTCCCTGTGGCTCCTGCTAAAAGGCAGGCATTTTGCTGTCATTTATACCTGGATATTTGTTACTTACTGCAAAATTGGTGATGAGTGGCTGAGAAGTGTAGGTCAGCACAGATGAAGGTCCAACCAGGGTGTAGCTGGGCCCCATGGGCTGAACATACATGTCTGCTGTGTAGGGGCAGCTGACTGCTTCATGAGACATGTAATCAGGGTAAGTGGTCCACTGAGTTAAAGGCTGTAATGTTGTGGGAGAGGGCTGGGAGATCCAGCCAGAACAGAGAGCTCCTTCCTCTGAGCCAGGTAGTGCAGAGGCAGCAACCTCCATATCGACACAAGGCTGGCCTAAAAAACAGGAGAGGATTAAAGCTCAGTTCAGCAAAGCCTTCCCTGCAGCAGGGCTGGCAAGCACTTAGGGAGTTAGGGAAAAGTTACCCATTGGTGAATAGGAAGGAACTGGCTGATGGGGCAAAACAACCTAGAAGAGAGAAGAAAAATATCAAGGGATTAAGACCATAAGCTTCCAATTCAATCTCTTCTGAGAACCACTGAGGGACAGAGCATATGAGCTCCTAGCAGCTGATAATCAGCTACTACTGCAGTGCCAGTGCCTGGATTTTCCCACCTGCCTCTACAGAAGGGCCAGGAGAACTGAGCCTATGAACACAGAACCCCAGGCCTGTTCATGGACCAAAGTCCACCTGTCCCTTCAGCTCAAGGGGGCTTTAAACAGTACTTCAACCTTGTGTTGCAGAGGGAAATCCTCTTCAGAGGAGAGCCACTCTATTTGTTTCCCCCTGGGAGGACAGATACACCTGTGTGTAGGCTGAAACTGAGAAAGAGATAGCCAAGGATGGCTCTGGCTTATCTCTTTTTGTGCTCTTGACCTTGTGCACTTTCTGTTCCTAGGAATGAGATCCTGCCACGTGCAAAGCACTTTCCCCCTCCCACGAAGCAATGGTGACTGAGGTTGCTCAGCACCCTCAAGGCACTCCAACTAGAATAATGCCATATTTAATGCTCTCTACAGGTAACCTGAGGCTGCGTCGCCTTCAGAACGCTTCAGAGATGCAAAGATTCCTTTCACTGCCAAGGTATTGCCAGCTGGTGCCAGGGCTGGTCAATCATTTAGCTACCAAGGAAGAGTTTTTCAGCCTGTGTTTGTTTTTCTCCTACCGTTGTAGCTGCCGTTGCACTGGCATGATGAACAGTTCCCCGTTTCCTTTTCAACAGCTCCTTGACTGGCTCTTTGACACGGACACCTTGATAGGGGCGAGGCTGAGGCTGCTGTTCTGGAGCAGAAGCTGAGGAAAAAATAAAAGGAATAAATACAGGTGACATTTCTTTTCCTGCTGTTTGCACAGAGCCGAAGTCCCTATGGCAGCCTGCTTTGCTGTCAAAGGTTTTGACCAGTCAGTGTGGCCAGAGTCTGGACTCATAAACATTTCCTTCCTTAGGTAATAATGTCTTGTGGCCCTTCCTTGGCAGCAGATGGCATAGGCCTTCTGTTTAGATAAACAGACCTTTGCTGTTTAGATGCTGTGATCCCACAGATAGATCATGAGGACATGAAGGATGCTTCTAATTCCCTCCAGCTGTTAAATGGCTGCAACAATCCTGAGAATCTCAGCCCTTTTTTAAACTTTTTTTCTTTTCTCTCCTCCTTTTTGCCCCTTTTTTAATTTTCTTTTCAAAAGAGCATTCATACAAAATTCACAGCAGAAGAGCTTGCACAGGCCTTGCAGCCAGGCTGGTGTGGAAGGCAGAGCTGGTGGTTTCTCTGCCACACTGGCAGGTGTTTTTCTGGTCTGCAGAAGCTGTGTCCTATCAGGGACAGGGTGTAATGAACACGTTCCATTGACTCCACAGGCACGTTGCTCTAGGCTGCTCTGACAGCCAGGGAGCACGTAGCACAAGGAAAGGGGGTTACACAGAGGAGAGCACCCCATTCCTAAGAGCAACAGCTATCAACAGCCTCCCAGTGGGGGTAGATTTTATACACGTGTGAAAGCTGATATTATCAACCCCTATTTTACATTAAATATTCCGAGGTAATTGATAGCAGAAGGAAACCATAGGATATCAAGGCTCAGGGAGGCCTGATATTTGTAAAGCCACTGATAGCAGTAGTGGCTACCTGCTGCTTTTTACTGCACTTTGGTTTGTAAATATGCTAATTGATAAGTTTCCATTTTCTAAAGATTGCAACTGGCCTTTGGTGTTACGAAGTACAGGTGAATATCCAGCTCAAACCCTAAAACATTATTCCATCCAGGAAGCACTGTTCAGATTTACATTCTGTGCTTCCTATCACAGAACAAGATGAATCATTTTGCCTCTGATCATCTCTCCCAGCTACATGCATTTGTATGCATAACTGAGATGCTTCTATTACACCTTTCTGGAGGCAGAAAAACTGAGTCTAAACATAGACATTGTAAGCCAGTCTTAAATATTTAACAGCATAAACATTTCTGCTTTAATTTCTTTCCTGAAAAATGAAATACTTTTTCCCCTTCAACTTTGCTCTACCACCAGCTCTTTCTCACTCCATACATCATTATGAAATAATACTTTTAATACCAGACCACCACATTTATGCACTGACTGTTGTCTTTGTTATCTTTATGCATATTTGGAAAATACTTTGCTTTAAAGTACTAGCTGAAGAAGAGAAGATTTTTCAGCCTTTGCTTGATCTACTTTTGCTTTTTATGGACATTCTTTGTGGGACTTGAAATTGGGTTATTTGCATTCTCACAATTCCTGTGGCTTTGAAAATGTAGTTAAAGAGAATTAAGATCACTTTAATTCTGCATACAAGCATTCACAAAGGCTTTTAAATTTAATAAGTAAAACATGAACTGTATTAATTGGCACTAATTTACCTGAGTGCACACAACAGCACTAAAAAGTGCCGTGGTATGAGCTGTCCTGAGAACCCTGAAAAGGAGCTGGATACTAGACAGGAGGTCTGAAATAAATACCATCACAAAGGTGCCTGCTTCATCTTATAAAAAGATTTATTTACATTTGGAAATCATTTATTTGGTATGCTACCAAAAAGCTCTTCAGGGTCAGACATGGCTGCTGCTCTTCGTGCTACTGCATGAGAACATCAGCTCTGCTGAAGCAGATATGAGCTCTGCTGAAGCAAATATGAGCTCTGCTACAGATTGCACAAGGGTATCTCTTGGGTAGTGTCTTTCCCTGAGTCATCCCCCCCATGTCAAAGGCCCTCAGTCATCACCCCCATGTCAAGGGCCCTCCTTGCAGAATTAGGGTGGGGAAGAAGGGCAGTTTCTGGCTCCAGGTTTGGGGGATGGGAAAGAAGAAATTTACTGTAAAAGCTGACAAATATACCTATTCAGAGTTTCCGGTGTCAGCAGAGTAACCCAAAAAAAAAAAAAAGAAAGAGAGAGAAAAAAAACCCCAAAGTCTGCAGCACATATTTCAGTTCCCCCAAGCTGACCTCCAGAAATAAAAATAATGCTAGCACAGCTGCTTTTCCTCTCTTCAAGTGTGTACCAAGGCTGAGCATCACAGACCAACCACAGCAAAATGACTTGTGGCTTCAGTGTGCAATTCCTCATAAAGCAAAAGAATAATGATCAGTTTAAAAGGAAAACACTTGGGAAAAATAATGACAATGAAAATATAATTGTTAAGGAAGTGCCCTGATTTAGTAGCCTCCAACTTGTAATGCCAGGGTTGCCTTAACAAACTCTGAAGCCTCGCCTTGGATCAAGTTTGAGTTATATTTTTATTTAAGTCATGAGGTGCAAATGCACCAAGGTCTGCATGCCAAAATTCCATTCAAACAAATAAAAAGAAGAGCAGTGCATGTGCTCCAGTGCTGAAGGACCCACTGTATTCTAGACTCATACAATTCAAGGATCCCAGAACATCCATGTGCTGTTCCATAATAGGCACTGGATCTTGACTTAGACCAGATTTCTGAAGTGGGAACAGTGAGCAGCATCAGAATGCAAGAAAAGAGAAAGAATCTAATCCTACCATTAGGGAGCTTTGCAATAGTTTGTGTGTGTAAATATATTTTAGCTCATTGCAATGCTTTTGTCAGGCTGCCTCACAAATCCATGGTGTGTGCACGTGCTCAGGCTCCTTTCATCAGTGTTATCACTCACTATATTTGCTGAATGCCAACAGAAGCCTAGCACAAACCTGGAAGACTTTGAGTAATCTCTCAAAGTGGCTGGATAATACAATAGCCAGGGAAAAGTTACCAAAGGCAGCAGTCACACTAGCTCTAAGTGACAAGTGACAGCAGAAGAAATGGGTTTGATTCCACCACTTTGCAACTCGGTCTGCAAGTATCCAGACTGCACAGACAAGGCTGAAGGTTCCCAGTTTCAGTGGACACTGGATGAAGATTTTACAGCTTCATTAAGTGTTGTTCTTGGGGTCAACACACTCATCTCTCTGCTGTGGTTATCCCCGTGCCAATTGGTTTGCACCTAGGACATAATATCATTTTTCTTGCTGAGCATGATTCCAAGTTGTGCTGCACGTAGCAGGCACAGCCAATGGGGATATCCCATTTTTGGCAGGATATCTGTCATCCCCAAATTTTTGTCAGTACAGTAGATGCAGATACAGCATTTTTAAAGATACCTGCTGCTTATTAACATCCATTAAACGCTGGTGTGAGTATAAGATGAGGAAGGGAAAGCCTACCAACACACAACCCAACAAACCAAGCAACTGCAAAACGCACCTTCCTCTGCATTTTTATTTAACCATTGCTGAGCTTGGAGGGAAGATAATGGCAAAACAGCTGTTGGAAGGTTGCAAGTATTGAAGCATGACAAGTTTCAGATCACTAAAACTTCATATTAGCACCACTGGCCCTCATACACACACAAACTGCAGATGAGTTTAAAACTTCATCCCTGCAAACAAGTCATAACAGTTTTCCATCAGGGCAATTTTCAGTTTGAAATACACTGCTCATCTTTAAGATTTTGCATGGCTACCTGCCTGCAGCAGCAAAAGACACACGTTACTGTTTCAGAAGATTTACTGTGCTCACACACTGACATGTGATAAGCTTATCAACTGATCAGTGTGAACAGTGTAAATATTTTTCTCTTTTCCCCTTTCGCTTCCAGCGAAATAAAAATTCTCAATAAAAAATTGAGAAGAAATACAACAGAAAACTTCTTATTTGCAGTAACAACAAAAAGCAAACAGTAACTCTTGAATAAAAAGAAAAAAAATTATATTTCAACTAACAAACTACTGAGTTCCTGGCTTGGATATTGAAAACCAAATTACACTAGGCAGCTGCTGACGTTATACTCAGTGAACTTCAGCTAATAGAAAGAAAAAGGTGGCTCAGCTTTGTATATGCTATTTGGAGGCTTAAATTCTAATCAAAATCTTTCTACAATAAGACATCAAAGCCCATTTAGCAAGGGACTGAATACTTCATCGTGGTCATCTGCATTTTACATTGATTTCAAATGCAGAACCATTTAAAAATGCCTTTTAAAAAAGTATTAAAGCTAATAATATTATTTGGGGTCTGTTGCTGCTTTGGAAATGAATCATGTGATCCCAGCTGACATCACAACTGAACATTGATAATGTCCCATGGATATAATGGATAACTGGGAAAAGCACTTGGATTAAATGTGGCTCCTAACAGCTAGGCAGACAATCCTTCTAATGAGAATTGTTTAATCAACTCCTCTTATATTTACATTCAGTCCATCTAACCATTCACAGCAGTGGATCAGGAGGAAAAGACACAGAAATCTAACTCTGATTCTTAGCTCTTCCTCTGAGGGGAAGATCACCCAACTGGTAGATCTCCAAAGTTACTCAGCTGCCCAAGGGTAAGTGCTTTAATACAACTCTCAGAATGTTTATCTGTATTCCATCTGCCTATTCCTTGCTTCATTATCTTGTCAATAGCCTTTCCACCAGAAATTATGTGTCTCAAAGCCCTAGGCTTGCATGTCAAAGCCCATTTGAAGGACTCAACGTGCAGCTCTTTTTGTGCATCTGACACACCTCAAATCTCCTCTGGAGTGCCACCCTTATTTTTTTGTAGACAACCCTGGCAAGGAAAAAATGGACTGGAGTGGATTAATGTCCATACTGTTTGTCACACTATGGGTGGATGTTTCAATAAAGATTTAGCTAGATGCAAAGCACTAAGCAAACATCTGGGCAGAGAATCTGCCCTACAATAAACAGAGCTCAGAGCATGAGCAAAAGAGCCAAGAGATGGTTCATTGCTCAGTGTAAGGAAATGAACTCAGGAGAATTCTGAGCATAATTAAACCAACAGACTAAACACTTGCTTACCAACA